ACCGTGTTCGCAAGAGCCCTACACTGGTTGCTATCCTGAGCCAGATTGATCCAGTCCATACCATCCCATCCCATCTCTCTAATCTATCATAATAATGACCAACCACCTACGTCTTGTTCTTCCCAGTGGTCCCCTTCCTTCTGGCGTTCCCACCAATATCCTGTATGCATTCCTCTTCTCCCCCATCCGTGCTACATGCCCTATACATCTGATTCTCCTTGACTTGATCATTCTAATTATACTTGGCAAAGGGTACAAGTTATGAAGCTCCTCATTATGCAGTTTTCTCCAACCTCCTGTCACTTCACCTCTCTTCGATCTGAATATTCTCATCGCCCTGTTTTCAAACACCCACAATATAAGTTAGTCCCTTAATGTCAGAGATCAACATTGACACCCTTACAGAACCACAGGCAAAATTACATATTCTCATTTTTATGTTTTCAGACAGCAGATGACAATACAAAGGGTTCTGGACTGAAAGGTAACAAGCATTAACCGAATTCAATCTCATCTTAATTTCCTCGTGAATCAGGTTTTGATTTGTTATAGTCGTTCCCAGATATCTGAACCGTGCCACGTTTTCAAAACATCTGTTTCCTGTCTTTATGTCATGATTTTTCTCTGCATTCTGGTGACGAGACAGCAACATATAAACTAAGTTCTATCTGTGAAGAAAGCAGTCTTCTGGAATGTGTCGCCGTGTAGTTATTGTGCTAACCGACGTTTCGGTGGAACATATCGCCTCCATTTTCCTGCTCACACTTGTTCTTCGCTTGCGGATTTTCAGCCTCAAAAGGGCTAGGATCAGGTACTAACGAATCAGCTGTATGTATTACTGTCTGCCTAACATCACTGACCCTATGTACATTTCAGTAACTGAGAGAAGTAGTTCCTTCACCTATTAAAATTCTTGTGGTAATCTGCAAGCAGATCACCATTCTCATCCTTCACTAAATTACTGCTAGGCTGGTAACTCCTCTTAAAGTCATTTATTCCTCTGTACAGGCCTCTATAGTTCTTACTGTTCATTGCAAGCACCTTACCGCCATCTTTGAGCCGATTGCCTAGATAGTGTGGGACCCTCAATGTCTCACAGCCTATGGGCCTTCACGGCCTGGTACAGGGATAGCTTTACTTTACTTTACTTTACTGTTCATTGCAAGTTCATCAATTTTGTCTTTCATAAATTCCCTCCCTATATTTCTGAAATGCCTGCTGGTTTCGCGTCTTATATTGTTAGATTATCTCCACTTATTTCACTTGGAACCTGTAACCACTGCAGTTTGGCTTGTTTCATTTTTTCTGACAATTCTGAACATCCTTCATTGAACCATGACTTCTTCAGTTCATAATAACCTAGACTCTCTTTGGCAGAAATTTTGATATTCCTTGTAATAATTTTCCAAGCTTTATTAATGTCGACCTAAGTGTCCAAGTTTTCCAAAGCCGCGAACCCATCTGAGATTTCAACACATTACTGCTCTTTACCCTCTACCTCATTTAATTTCTTGAGATTGAACCTCTCCATGTGAACTCTGTGCGTTGTTTGTTTGCTCACTGCCAGGCTTTCCCTAACCTTTGCCAGCACAGGGTATTGGTCAGGATCACAGTCTGCTGCCCTGAATGGTCGGACGTCAAGTATACTTGAATGCCGTCTCCTATCTATCAAAATATGGTCGATTTGATTGTATCTTCCCAACAGGAGATTTCCAAGTAAATTTATGGATGTTACGATGTGGGAACATTGTACTTTTGAAAATAAGATTTTTTGGTGTGGCAAAGTTTACTACTCCAATATCATTACTAATTTCGTATAATCTCTCATTCCCAATTGTTGGTTTGAAAATGTCTTCCCACTCCATTTTGGCATTGAAATCTCCTAACAAATTGATCATGTGGTATTTAGGGAATTTATCTAATACATGTTCTGGTTCTTCATAGAACCTGGCCCTCATGTCATTAATTTTGTTCTCTGTTGGGGCGTGGACATTCAGAACGATGACATCCCACCAGCGTGCTCTTAGTATTATGTACGACATCCTGTCACTAACAAACTGTACCCCCTGAAATGCAGATATGATTCTCTTATGTATGAAAAAAAAACCTGTAGGGGCCACGAGGTAGCGTAGTTGGTTGAGGCACTCTACTACAAGCCGGAAGGTCGCGGGTTCAAGTTCCGATGAGGTCATTGGATTTTTTCAATTGACCTGATCCTTCCAGCAGCACTATGGCCCTGGGTTCCACTCAGCCTCTAATAGAAATGAGTACCAGGAATATTCTTGGGGCTAAAGGGCGGCCGGCGCGTAGGGCTGACAACCTTACCGTTATCTATGAGCCGATTGTCTAGATAATGTGGGAACCTCAACATCTCACAACCCTATGGGCCTCCACTGCCTGTTTTTTTTATTGCTAGTGGGGTGCGACTAAGTCCCTTGTACTGCGGCCACTTCTGAACTTTTGTACCAGCCCCAGATGATGGGTGATGGTGGTTGTGGAGCAGTTGGTGGAATGAAGATTGGCAAAGGAAACCGAAGTACTCGGAGAAAACCTGCCCCAGCGCCACTTTGTCCACCACAAATCCCACTTGACCAGACCCGGGATCGAACCCGGGCCGCCGCGATGGGAAGCCAGGGACTAACCGCTTGAGCTATGGCGCGGCCTTCCACGGCCTGTTACAGGGATGCCCCCCTTTTTTTTTGTAAAAACCTGTACCTAATTCATGATTCTCATTCCCCTTTCCATAGAAGAATGTATATTCGCCTGCTGGTTCGTTGCCACCTCCGTCCCATCTGACCTCTTGTACTCCCAGTAAATCTGACTTACATTTTGATATTTCTTCTTCCACTGCCCTAAATGAGCCTGCTCTATCCATACTTCTAACATTCAAAGTACCAAATCTCATATCCATTTTCTTTCGCTTAGGGCGTTAATCCAGGTCCAGGTCCGAGGCTTCTTGTGGTCTTTTCGTAAATGTTTATTTCTTTACTGTGAGGAGTGGGTAGCCCCACGCCCAACCCCCGAGCTGGAAGATAACCCCTTGTTGGCTACTGCTTATTCAGTAAATTCGCAGCAACCCCCTCTTATCTGGAGGCAGTCTCCTCCATCTGCCACCTGAGGACGCGCCATGCCGTGGTGACCCACCTAACATGGCCTGTTTCTAATATTTTTGAAAATGTAGTAACCGGCTTTAGGGGCAGCCTTTCTCAGTGGATGCTGGGAAGAACTTCAACAGAAACAAATGATAAGTCGAGAATTAATTCACGACACTTTCTCCAGCTTGGAACCCGATTCGAGGCAAGGACTGGACTAGCGCTCACGTCACATCCGGTGTACATTTCCGTGTTTGAACTTCAATGTTTACTGCTGTCGAGTGACGGTCCAGTTGCCAGGAGGTTGAATGCAGTATTCACAGAGGCTGGCCACTAGACCCAGATTTGAGCATTATCATTCCAGTCCTCGTCCTCATACCAGATTTGTTTAAGATCCGTTTTAATATTACCCTCCAATTTAAACCATGATATCTCAGACAGCCTCTGCTCTTCCGGGTTAAACGAAATAGCTCTCTCCCTGTGCTTACCTAATTAAGCACTAGTTCACGAAGGCGCATGGGGGAGTGGATGTATAGATGCACATTTCCTTGACCTCGGCACTAGTTGGAGGCGACTCAGTTTCACGCCCTGGCCGCTTTACCCCCTGCGGAAAGAGCCTCCGGTCCCCATTGGATAAGAGGTTGGGTGGACCCCAGAGCCGGTCTGCACGATTTGGAGAAGATAAAATTCTTGATCCTACCGGGACTCGAACTCCGACCCCTCAGTCCATCCCGTAGCCAGTCGCTAGACCGACTACGCTACCCCATCTCCCTTCTCTTCTGGGTTTCTAACTAAAATTTAATATATATTTCTTATCTTCCAACATTTGCGCTTCTTGGTTTGATCACCCTAATAACAGCGATTCAGAAACATTTTTACGCTTATGTCAGCGTTGGTTCATAGATGTTTAAACATTTTATTAGACAGGCTGTACCTGGCAAATGGATTCATCCCCATTTCCTCCAAACTCAGCTTCATCTCTACTTCAAATCTTTGTTCCGGATTCAGGCACATAACGCTGCGTATGAGTGTGTCGTCGCCCTACACACAAATTATGACCCAATTGAATGTATCCTTCTGCTGTTGGTTTGTGTCATTTCAAGCAAACGTAAGTACTCCCTCTTCGTCCAATGCATGGCTGTTCTCTTGTGTCCGCCTCAGACCATGCAGTAGCTGAACATTTAGCTGGAATAACACTCAAATTAAGAAACTGGAGTTTACTTATGTAATTAAAAAGAACTTCTAAATGGGGATTCGACTCACTTGTACATTGCTCTAAGAGCCGTGGCCGCCGTATATATTGGGAAGAGAGCGTGTTACAAGCCCGTCACTCCGTGCAAATTGTGTCGCTGGTGAGGAGGGGGCTACTGTGGATATCTCCAGATTGAACTATAATTGAGTCAAGTGTCACGAAGAGCAGATGTTGCGCCCACTGCTTTGGCGGCAGTGGCCCTTTCGGCTGCAGTCAGAGCCCTCATAACTGACACAAGCATCATCAGATAAGCGAAAACGTTCTGTGTCAGGTCCCTAGGGGTTCACAGTCTTGCCGTCTTGCCCTCGAAACCTGTTTACTGGCTATTATTTCCCTAAATAGTATTAACTGTACGAGGAACTACATTCTCATGTGACGTCATGCGGAGTAGTACAAACGTTCCGGTGGGGACAGCTTACTCCGTCTCCGGGGTATGTATTATTTTGATGAATTTCAGGCTTCTGATGGCCGTACTGTGAGATCACTATTGTCTGGGGACCAGGCCGCCCTCTTGCGCCGGTTTTTGGCCTGCAGGAAGCCGAATGAGGTTAATATCACCGCCATGTCAAGTGATGGTTCCTGGCCATGCTCAGAAATGCTTTAGTTTTAGCTAATTGTTCCCGAGTCGCTGCTAAACGTCTGTGTATCTCCTGCAGGTGAGGACCAGTGACCATGCCTGTGGAGGGCGCCGCAGAAGCCTCGGCCGGCACGTCCTCCTCGTCCGCACCCCGAGATGAACCGCTGCCCCTGTCCTTGACGGCGCGCAGCTCCTCGTCTTCGTCTGCATCTGCGCGCGGGGGTCCCGGCTTCGAACTGTACCACCACCATCTAGTGGGCGGCCTGCACCGTGAGAGTTCCGCTTTTGTACCCGTGGTGCCCCAGCGCTTTGTGGCCTACCCGCCTCTGCTCCTGGATGACAATGTGGAAGGCCGTAAGCCTGGTTCAGGCTTCGAACTCATGGCCCTTATGGCTGACAAGCAGAAGGAGCTGGCCCTGCGCGAGGCCGCAGCACATGCAGCAGCGGCCGCCGCAATGTTACTGCCTCATCCCCACAGGGGGCAACCGCCACTACCCGGGGCACCCCCGCCACATCACCCTTATGGGCCGCCGGCTGGGATCTTCGCCCCTGGAGGAGGCACTGGGGGCGGTCCAACAAGCTTCCCGTTTCCGGGAACTGCGAGTGGCATGTTCCCCCCACACAGCCACGCTCACCTAGACCGCCGGCTGCTGCGGGCCCCGGGCCGGGCTTCGCGCCCCAAGAAGCAATTCATCTGCAAGTTCTGCAGCCGCCAGTTCACCAAGTCCTACAACCTGCTGATCCACGAGCGCACGCACACGGACGAGCGGCCCTACTCGTGCGACATCTGCGGCAAGGCGTTCCGGCGCCAGGACCACCTCAGGGACCACAGGTA